TTTGTCGCCCTTCATCACCACCCTATGTTTAACCGCAACAAGTCTTCCATTGCTCCAGGCCTATAGGAAGATCCGATTGAGCAGTTGCCATGTTTTCCAAAGTGAAAATTTCATGATCATGAATGAGAGAATCATTATAAAAATACTTAATTTGCTTACCTTAAGTGCATCACCAACAATGACTACAAAAGCATCTTTGGGAACCGCCACTTCTTCCCAATGGCCTTCTTTGCTTATAACCTCAAGACCTTGCACATCATTTTGGCATAGAACAGTTAGAGCATTCTTGTCTGTGTGAGCCACCAGACCTAGATTTTCGTCCTCCCTCCGAGGACTTTTGTACTTCATCACACGGAAAACGCTAGTGCTTTCCCTCACAAGCGCATCGTAGTGCTTTTCTTCCATGCCAAAGCTCTCGAAAATCATTTCCAGGATTGTAAAATTTAGCTCTAGCATCTTTGAGCTCATGGAATGGAGTATCTCACTGTCACAATGACAAGTAAAAAGTAAGAGTACAACATAAAAAATTACTACTAACCCAAGGAACATTAAAAGAAAGATTCACCATTTTGAAGCTCAATTAAGTAGGTAAAAACTGAAAATATTGGAATTTTTGTGGCCTCAAATATATGATGTGGGGGGAGGGGGTAGCATTGCATAATTATAAATGGAATTTTGTGATTAGTGATTGAATGTTTTCAGTTGACCAGTATGCGACAAGATCACAGCTGGGCATTTGACAAGGACTAAAATAAAACTGCAGCCAGACACCAGTTACAAAGAGACTGAGTTTATTTCTTTTTGATGATTTTCTGGCAAAGGCATGTGCAGTTTGTAATACAAAACAATCATTTTTGAAACCGGCACTGTATTAAATAAAAATCTATTTCTAGGATAAGCCCTATTAAATATGGAATTGACGGGTAGTGAAGGCGTTTGGTGGCAGCCATTATCATGTAAAAAATATAGCTTTCTGTTGTTATTAAAGCTAAAAAACGATTGTTTGAAAATTTGATTAGACTTTTTTGAATTAGACAAATGGAGTTATATATGTATATGCTTTTCAAGTTAATTTTTCGATGATCGTGACTATGGGTCTTTTTTGTTCCAGAAACAATCAATATTGAAATTTTAATAGCCTAACTTTTTTTTACTCTGGTTAGAGCAGGAAAATTAAAGAAAGATATTGGAGTTTTGAATAAAGATGGCATGACGAAAGTAGTTATAAATTGTTCAAAATGTTACCTGTAAAGGAAACGAGAAGTAATGAATTCATGAAAAGCATGTTAAAAACCTCAATATTAGTATCATAAATTGTTCATATTCATGTACTCTGATCTCTACCATTCTTAAAGAAGAATGGGCATTAATTCATGCCATCAAGTTATAACCAATGCAACCCAAACAAAAGCTCGATTCATAATTCTGAAGCTACTGATGCATGTAGCTTCTGTTTACTGCATGTTAACTGTCAAATCAAACCAGCAGCAAAAAGCATGGAAAACAAGGGAAAAAAGGTGGAGGAGGAGAAACGTGAGGGAATTTTGAAGCTTATTTGAAGAAAAATTTACCAGAACGCTGGGTTTCCTTGAGGCCACATGAGGTGAGTGAATTTTTTAGCAGCTTCAAGCCGGGGGGTGTCGTCGATGCCAAAGCTCTCCTGCAAAGGAACCACGGGACACTTGCCCTGGTAGCTGCGGTAAGGCTTAGGGTTCTGGTACTTGCTCTTGGTCTCTTCAGGGAGATCAAACAATGCTTTCATGGCCACCAGCATATCTTCACGTAGACTTGTTGGGATCTTATCGTACGTTAGGAGAAAACAGCCATGAGTCTCACATGCCTCCCTAACTTTGTTACACAACAGTTTCCGGCTCTCACTCCCACGCTTCCTGTCATCAAGATCTTCCCCTGAAAAAACAAGAACTGGGATTTTAGCCCCATCCATCTCTCTCTCTCAATTAATGTTTCCCTCTCTTTCTCGAACTTGAAGCACTATATAAAAAAAAGGTTCCCTACTTTATAAGGGATCAGTTAACTCTAGACATATCCAAAAGTTGGTCTACTTTTTAAATGATTTGGGCACCCTTCTTCCACCTGTTCTCATCTTATGTACCATTCTTTTTTTTAATCTCTGTGAACATATCTGCTGCAGGAATTTTATACTAACAACAAATTTTAGAAATTCCCAATCATATTTAATGCAAATTAGTAAAGATTCTTATTTTTGTATTTAAATTAATTGATGATATTGACATGTACATTTCATAATGTGAATTTCACGTGATTATGATATGTGCTGATAGTGAAATCTAAAAATAGCGTCATATTTGTTTAAATCTCAACCAAAGGACATTATATGAGATCTTTGAAATGCCTTGTTTGCATTAAGATTCTTCCTGCATAGCTGTCACCTTCAAGTCCTTGAAACGAAATATTGAACCCTTCAAGTCCTTGAAACTAAATATTGAACTGTACAGTATTAAATCAAGGAAAGAAAGAGAGAGGGCAGCAGCCAGTGGCGCAGCAACTCCATTCTGGCGTGACACCTTTAGAGAGCAAAGCAAAGCCAATATGTCAGCATTGTAACAACCAGTCGAAAGAGTGGGTGCTTAATCAATCAAAGGTGCGCCCCATAAAAATTTCGGTTATAAGGCTTGACATTTATGTCTGCGTGGTTATAAAACCCATTTACCAATTAATGCTTTTTGCCATTGATATAGAATCTAACATATTCTTTTTTGGGGGTCTGAACAGAAACGTACCATAACAAATAATGAGTCTGATTGTTTCCTTAAGACCGTTTGAAAGGGCTTGGATTGAAGATCAGGTTCAAAAATTCCAGCCAGCCCCTATGCTTTTGTATCTGTCAAGGACACGACTTTCCCACAGGGTTGGGGTCCTCTCTAGTAAAGGCCATATGGGTCCCCATGGTCACTGATAATTACAAATCTTCATTCTCTGTATTGCAAAAAAAAAGTGGGAAACTCCAATATTTCAATTCTTTTTATCAGAATTCCATTAACCCATTGTTTAGAAACTTGTATGTAGCAAACCTATACATGTGAAAAATGCCTCGGTTCCATCTAACTTCCCATTAATCGGATCAACAAGAGGGAGAGGCATTGACTCTAGGGATTATCAAACTCAAAGAATGAAACTCTTTTGTTGTTTGCATGGCCGTAAACCATGGATCTCTTATTATTGCCCACAAACCATGGATCTTGTTTCATGCACTCCCCTGAATAAGTCACTTTTAGGTCTCAACTTTTGGGTTCAAAAGGACAGAGTCAACCCCATCTACTCTCGTTAGTGGACCACGGTTATATTTTTCAAAGAGGACTCTAATCCGATTCCTTTATTAAGAATATATATCTATATATTATATATATAGATATATACATATATATATATGTATCATTGGGTTCCTGATATATTTTTGTAATGATATTTTAAAATAATTTAAATTTCATCGTTTGTATTTTTTTTTTTTTTATTCTCAAACTGCGACTTTTTACGTTGAAAAAAAGTGGGAAGAGAAATTAAGAAAAAACAAAAAGTTTAAAATATCGGTGTCCATAAACACTTGAGTGAGGAATTTAAAATGCCAGGTATGATCTTTTGTGAGCAAGGAATTTCCATTGATGGCACTCAACATATAAGTTTGTTGGGGGGAAGGGGGGATGAGTTGGTTCAGGGAATTAGTTAGCTTCGGTCAGTTTGGGAAAGGATTATGAAAAAAAGAAAAGAAGTGAGGAGGGATGTGTATGTAGCAACTCTCACTTAGCAAATGTAACCAAAAATTTAATTCAGATGGGACACACACCAAGAATTGTTCTGATTGAAATGGCAAGTCGGCAGCAAGTCCACATGGTACAAAGTATGCTCTATGAATCATCTCTCCCCCTACGGGGGCTCCTTGACATTATAATTAATTGGTTTGTCAAGTCGGTCCAACCACCATGTGTTCATGATTTTGCTACATTTATAGGTGGTAGTAAAACAAAACTTATCCAAAAACTACTTTTTGCTTTAAGTATATACTTTGGATCACATTTATGTTATTCAAAATGGATTTATGAACTTTCTTTCCCCTACACCATCCATTTATTTCTGCATTTGCTAAAGAAATTAGACCATGAAAATGCCTTGCATCAAAGTTACTTTCTTCCATTTTGATTGATGCTGCTTCAGCAATGAATCAAATTAACCATTGCTGCAATGAAAAAAGAACAAAGAGATAGCTTGAAGGAGAAGGAAAGGATTTTCTTTCTGCATTATTCATATATACTTGGTAACTTATAGGTGTTCCGAAGTGCAAGAAGCGTGATGATTGAGTGTGGCAGTCTAACGTTGAAGCTGGTCCTCAATCCATCAGCAGGAACTGGGAAAAGCTTTGTTCACAAAACCTCCTGGAAGCTGTCATAAGTAATGTACACAGAAGGAATCCAACACGTTTTTGGGGGCTTACGCTGTTGATCATGTGGACCTAAATATTTCTTTCAAAGATCAACATCATCAGCACTTGTTGGCATTTTCCTTTCATTTGCTTTATCAGACCATGCAGTAGTTCATAAGTCACTAGAAAAAGTCAATGTTGGGAAAGGAAAACGTCACCTAAAGGGTGGTGGGGCTAAATCAAATTTTAGGCATCCCTCTTTCCCCCCCCCCCCCCTTTAGTTTGCAGCAAGGCTGTGGAACCATTGACATAAAAATGTTGACTCCATGGATTCGGTCATAGAGCTACAAGAAAATTCAACACCTACTTTCAGTTAAGTAATACTCCTTTGGCAGGATGGGTTTTTTTTGTTTTATATCTTAATTTCCTGGATCTCATTGTTTTTTGTTCCCCATTAATATGAGATTTGAAAGCCATCTATAAATAAATGGACCAATTTCAATTAATGAGGCATCTTATCTAATCCAGGAACAGGCTTCTCCAAGTTGAAAAGGCCAAATGGAGAGGATCCAAATCCGTACCGACAAAACATCAACAGAAAAAGTTAATGAACTTTGGCAAGAATGTCCAAGTTAAAGATACAAAGTTACAAAACATGCATACAACAATAGCAAGGTTAGTTACTAGGGTTATGGGAGAGCTGAAATTGGAACAAACCAGAAATGGACACATTGAGCAACCAGAACAGCCACAAACTAACAACTGTTGCGGATTAAAAAAGAAAACTAATGTGATATTCATCAGTTGTTTACTTGGGAAATCGGCTAGCAATTGTATCACTTCCACAATTTAACAAACTTGTCATGACTAGCGGAAGAAACGAGCCCTGTCACAGGTGATACAGCCAATGCAGCTATTAGTCCTTCATGAGCTGGCAAAGTCTTGGTCTTATTCTCTGTCATATGCCATAGCTCCAAAGACTGCAGCAGAAGGATCAAACTTATTTAGTAAGTAATTGAACCCAACATGGAAAGAGCAGGACTCAAAAGGCCATATTCCATAGCTCCAAAGTTCACAACAGATTTTGATGTGATAATTCATGCAGGCTATGCACAAGCATGATCAACTACTCATGGAGGTTTGATTCATGTATGTTTTATCTTGAACAAGCTTTGAGAAAATTTCAAAGAAATATTTGTAATAAGACATTGCCAATGTATAATAACAGCAAATAACCAAATGCATGTTAAACAACAAAGTGAACAAAGTTACTTGCCTGGTAACAGCCTATGACCAGCAATGATGGATATGTAGGATGGAAAACACAAGAGTTAAACTTGTTGCCATTACAGCTCAATTCATGAACACATTCCCCTTCACTCCCTGATCCGAAGGTCCAAACTCTAACAGAGTCCTCACTGACAGATGCTAGAAGCTCACCAGACGGGTCCCAGCATACAGAATGGATCTGTTTAGTATGTCCCTGTTATTACAAATCCAAGGACAAAGGGAAGTCAGTCATGCAGCAACAGAGGATAATGCCGAGGAAAGGATCATAATTCTTATACATATGTAAGAGAAAAACCACCAGCAACACAGCAAGAGAAAGAATTTTCACATATTTCCACAGTATACAGATGTGACCATCAATGGATCTTTTATCAGTCTAGTACTCACTCAGTCGCCAGACAACAAGCCACAGTTTGGCTAGGCTTATGGCAGTAGCACATATATAACTTCAGTTACCCAAATTAGAAGTTTCTAACTAATGTCAATCTAGTTATAATACAACATTTGGAAATTCAGCACTTTAAAGACTTTTATAGTAGCTTGAAACATGACCAGAAAAATATCTAGATTTCAAATCCTTTATCTGGACACTTAAAGCTTCATTGGAACCCTAATCATTGTTATAACTGGTTAGTCCAAATTTTAAGTTGTCAAACCTTAGAAATGTATGACCATTGGGCAAATCGTTCTTTGCAAAATATCAAGAAAAATTAGTCAGCAAAAAGAAAATACGGTGTAAGGGGTCAGTAGAAAGCCCTCATTGGTTTAACCCAAACCACAGATTGAAATCATACCCTTAAGTTTGGCCATAGCAGGAATCAATCTCTCCAAGAAACAAATTGACAGTTCTCAGTGCCCAAAAATCCAGTTGAAATAAATTGAAATGCACTGTTCTAAATTACTCATTCAATTATTTCAAGAAATTAATTCTAGGAGCCCCATTTAAAAACTTAAAATTGAAAATAAATTTAAATAGAAAAAATTTACCAGTTTTAACAGATTCACTTCATTTCCAAAAGAAGACAACATTTCTTATTCAACAATGATGCAAACTGATAATGACTTGCTTTCCCTTTTTTTCTTTTTTCTTCTCTTTGTTTCCACCCAATTCCTAAGAATTTCTTTTATATTTTTCTATAATCCATGTTGATTAATTCACCTGTAAAGAGTGCCGACAAGTTTGAGTCTCTGTGTCCAATATAGATACAACATTCTCTGCTGCTAAAGCAAGATATTTCCCGAGGCGAGTTTGAAATCTCAACTGGGCTGTACCAGGGGCTGTACCTCCCTGATCCACATGAAGGAAACAATCTTATTAGCTGCGCATCCACCTCAAAGAGAGGCCTGAATTCAATTTATTCGATTTGCAAGAATATATGATGCAAGATCATACCTTGAAAACTCTTGCACAGCTCCCATTGGTGATACTCCAGTATCGTATTTCACCATCACCATCACAAGAGCAGATAAGATCTTCTTTAGTTGGGTGGAAGTCAAGTGACCAAACATGACCAGAATGTCCCATAAAGTTGCGAAGTGAATAACCAGGCTGCAGAAAAAGGTCAAGGAATTAGACAATCACATCTAATATATGTTTATAAAATTTATAAAAAAAAAAAAGACTTTGGAGGCAACCCACCCTGTCCCAAAAACAAAAACTGGAGACTCATCGAAAGAATGGATCCATCATACAGTATAGAAAGATTTTAAAATCAAGCATGAGAGAAAAATGCAGCCACTGAAACAATACTCTTTCAATCACTGTGTTTGGAAAATGGTATACATCATTGATATGAAATGCCAGTATATAACATGACAAATCAGTACATGCTTGAGGATTCAGCATTTGATCAATTTCTTAGCCAAACATTCAAGCAACAACAGGTACATGATTTACTTCATTTTATTAACGTAACTCTGTTGGAATAGTCATTTTCAGACATTCAAATCACCAACATATTTCCAATGTTACAACAGTTGCTGCAAATCTAATAACAACAATGGGATCAAAGGTTGATCCAAATTAGAATTTAAACAGAAGCATACAACCGTTCATGTTTTACATTCAGGAGGAAAGAGCAGCAACATTGAAAGTATGAAGTATGAACCACTTTTCCAGTATGAGCTTTTATATTTATCATGAACAGTTATATACCGAAGAGTTTCCCATTACAGAAACCTAACACTTTTTTTTTTGGTACAAGTTACAGAAACCTACTTTGCATCACAAAGTAAACCATGTATGTGTTCACTAGATTTTGAAACATTATACATAAACCATAATAAAGAGGAATTTTCTTTCATTCTACATGGTTGCACCGTCCTAATAAATGACATAAAAGACAAATCTGCAAAATAAAGCATCTTTAATTTATCTCAATGCAGATTAGATGGCAATCCAGAAGAAAGAACACTTAGAATGACAATAGCATGAAAATGCACAGAATGTTTTAAATGAAAACTTTAATGGGTAACAATATGGGCATACAAGAAGACATGATTAGCTCAAAAGCCAAAACAATCATGAGTAAAAGAAAAGAAAAATGTCCACTAACACTGTCAGCATCCCAAACTCTGACAGTTTTGTCAAACGAAGAAGTTGCAAGGCGTGACATGCTTGGACTAAAACGAACATCAGTAATCAAAGATGAATGTTCTTCAAGCGTAGACTTTGGCTTCAAAGTATCTGTGTACCATAATACAGCCTGTGTTGAAAAAAAATATATATGCAAATGATTTCACTTCTTACCATGAATAGAAAACAAAAACCAATTATAAACTAACATTTCAAAAATGAGTAAAATTTTATCTCCTCTTGGAACTCACCTTTTTATCATGGCCACCACTAGCAAGCATCTTTCCATCTGATGAGAAATGACAACAAGTAACTTTGTTATTGCTTGCTCGAACAGAATTTACTTCCATAAATGTGAAACCTGAGGTCATTTAAATTCGGTACACTGTAAAACTGGTACATTTCGAATATAAAGTGTGGAACTAATCCACCTATATTATGTAGTAATGCAATAATAGAATATAAGACGAATGTCTATCCCTCAAAATTAAACATAAGATGGATGCTCGCGCCCATACAATAGCACAATTTCTTTTGGCCAAATTCAATTAGCTTTTTGATGTATAAACCAATGTGGCAAGATCATAATAGCAATAATCAACATTTAAAATAATAATTCAGTGAAAATAATACCAACATATACAAATTTTAATTGGATTTACGATGTCTATGCTTAAATGTACTTTGTGAATTCCAACAAGGATGCATCAATTACCATAATCATTTGACAAAAGAATTAGCAAATTATCATATTGTATCCAAGTATGACCCGGGACATGAAATAGTCAACAGAATGAAACTATAGTGCTCCAAAAAGGAGGCTATATTAAATTCCCAATGACAACAGATTTTATCAAATCATAACAACCATAAAAGTTATATTTATACACCTTTAGTTACATCCATACATCGGCCAACGATATCTCTAGGATCCGTATCGTCATGGGATAAAAAAGATTCAACATTATCATCAAGAGATCCATCCTCCACAAATCGATCCATATCAGCCTGCAATTCAAGATCTTTATCATCCCACTGCCAAAATGGAATTCCAATGAGAATTTATGCAAGGAATTTTTAATTCCTCCACCAACATGGGAAAATAACTAATGGACTCACCAACTGATTTGATTGTGATGCAAGTGTGCCAGCACCATCAGTGCCAAACATCATCAGAGGCTTGGAAGAACTGCCACTATGAGGCAGAGCAGGCATTGAAATCACATCTCCAGGGGTGTGTGTTGATGGTGTGGAAGGTGCTGAACTTGGGGAGGGTCCGGCCGTGTTTGCTGTCCCTGAGCTATTGGCAGGGCCTGAAGAAGACACTGGCTGTTTTCTCTTTCTTCCATTCTGGTTTTTTGAAACCTTAAAATGAATTAAGGAAATTATGTTAGGAACCCGCTGAGATATTATTTAAGCTAAGAATCAGAAGTCAAAAACAATTTTATATTACTGTCCACTCCCATGTCCCTGCAAAATAATTTATAATTCTGGTTTAGGTTTGTTTATTGTTCAATAATAATAATAATAATAACAAATTTATAGCTTTATCCTTAACCCTAACCCTATTTTAGGTTTAGCTTATGTTTGTTTATATTCATTTAGGGTCTGTTGGTTTAAATTTGTTTGGTTATAATTTGTTTATAGTTCATGAACACGTTTGTGTATGTATATTTGTGAACATGTTCATTTAATGTTCATGAACGAGTTCGATTAACTTAATCGAGCCATTTAAACGAACATCCTACCATTTAAACGAACCGAGCTCAAACTAACAGAGCAATTTTCTCAATGAATACAAACCGAACCCAAACAGCTTTAAAATGAACGAACAAACCATGTACATGCATTTGTTCGTTCATGTTCGGCTTGTTTACACCCTTACACAAGGGTGCCACATGAAAGCAGATAAAACCTTAGTCAGGAATCCTTTTGGCAAGATGAATTAAAGTACCCAGAAAAGGGCAGACCTGATCATTCCCTCGAAATGAGTTTGACATGCTACCATCCACAGTAACACTTCCACCTATACCAACTTTATCTTGTTGATGTAAGCTTGGATTAGAACTCTGTGACTGCTGATTCGGGAGTGCATGCTGTGGAAGCTGCTGCTGCTGTGAGTTACTGTTCTGTTGATGTTGCAGTTGCTGCTGTTGCAAATGAGCTAATTTTAACTACAAGGCAAATGAAATATCTAAGAAATGGAAAGATCATAAAACTTATGTGACAACAAAATACCTAGCAAAAGAGTGGGAAATTGGAATTTTCCTGTTAAGAGAAAGGTAAAAGCAAACTTCACAGGGACAGTAATAATACCTTCATTAAAATATCTGGATCCCGAGACACGAGCGGACTGCCCGCCTGCAAAGGTGATACATTTGGAACCACATCACCAACAGAATTTGAAAGGCCATCCTTTCCATGGCCCACAGCCCGATTATTACTCAACAGCATTCTCAATCTTCGATTATCATCACTGCCAGATGGTGATGTCAGATTCTGCTGAGCAAGAATGAGTTGCTGCTGGTGCGGTGGCAACATCTGAAGTTGGTGAAAGGGCTGAGGAGCCTGTATAAAAGGCTTTTGCGGCTGAAGGACCCCAGAGCGCAGGTGGTCCAGTCCCTAAAAACAGATAAAATGAAAACCATCCAAAATAAACACCAGATGAAAAATAAAATTTACAGTTCAATAATACAGGTGATGAATAAAAACAAATAATTTCAATCAAAAGAAAAATTTATTTACCCAAATGCATACAAAATATTTAACTACAATATTAAGAGTTACCACTACAGGGTAAAGCAAATCTTTATAAAACTCACTGTTAACGGCCATCCTCTCAAAGTCAAATTATTACCACCTTGACTTGACCCTGAAACAAACATGAAAACACATTATTTAGTTTCCAAATTTCTAAAAGTAATATTAGCCCAGCAAATCACAAGGACAACCAAACTGTAGTTGAGTTAATACAATCATCAGTGTGCTATTTTCAAAGGAAAGATGCAATTTAAACAGAACCTGATAAAAGCAAAACAAGCCTACCAGGAATTCCCATTAAGGATCCATCAGGACCTGCAGCTCTCGGATTCAATACTGGATTTATCTCACTCTTTATGTCCTGCTTCCAGATGAAATTTCAAAACATGACTAAGAGAAGCAACATGTACATGAGATCAATTTAAGGTGACCCTACCGGCGTTGTTCCAGGCAATTGCTGACTCCGAGATTGAACTTGTGGAGACATACTACCAGCTGTACCATGAAATACTTGCCTGGAATTTTCATGATGCAAAATAAGTTTATTGCAGAAAGCAAGTAGGTCCTGGATGCTTGAATAAACCCTAAATGTGCGACTGGCTATTTCAAATGAAAAAGGAGGTGAAACAATTCAAAATTGTTTCCTTGGCATTCAGTGGCACAAATTCATGTTAGAGCAGATTGACCACAAGATTCAAAAAAGTTACCCTAAAAACTATATTCAAAACCTTCTGCAACATTTTTGCAAAATGTCTTACTTTGTGGGAAAACATTTAGTTACAACTGGTTGTAATCTGTGTAGTTGATTGTAATCTGCTGATCGTAATCTGTATATATTTGTATCCCTAAACTTAAGAATTTGTATCTCTAAAATTAAAGATAGAATATTAGGATAGTTAATCCTTTAATTATAGGAATTAGTTTTTAGGAAGATTTAGTTTCCTAGTTTAACCCCTAGTTAGTTGTATATAAACTTAAGGTGCTTGTATAATTCTTAATGAACAATTCTTCAATATGCATTCAGCTTTTATTCTTATTCTTTCACACAATTTTATTTCTTAGTTTTTTCACATGGTACCAGAGCTTTAGACTCTTCTTGAGAAGCAAAATTTTTAGCCTTCATTGCTGACTTCTATTTTAGGCCTTCATTGTTGAACCCTATTAAGGCCTTCATAGCCATTCTATTTTTCCCTTCCTTAGCTTTCATTGCTAAGAGTCATTTCTGGTTATATCTTAAGACTTGTTTCAGTTCAAAGAAAGATATCACTACCACCCAATTTGAAGAAGTGTCAATTGAAAAAATCACCAGAGTACTACAAATGTCTCAAAAACAAAGAAAGTTGGATAGAAAAGAGATTGATAAGCTAAGAAGCCTATTGAAAACCCTTGAAAACCCTACTGGGGTATGTTCCTTAAGTAAGGTCTTTAGTTCAGGTAAAGCTTTTGGTTCTCATGGATTAAATATCTCAATTAAACCTATTACGAATTCTTGGGCCATTGACTCAAAAACCACAACCCATATGACACATTCTTCACAAAAGTTTAGTTACATATACCCTGTGTCCTAGTAACAAGAAAATTGTTGTTACAAATGAGTCACTTATTACAGTGGCAGGATTAGGAGATGTTCAAATCAATCCTTCGTTTGTTCTTAAAAATGTTCATGTTCTTGGATTCTCTACTAATCTAATATCTATACAAAAACTTACCGAAGATATGAACTGCAAAGTGACTTTTTATCCCTCTTATTGCGAATTTAAAGACTAGAGTTCAGGGAAGAATATTGGACTTGCTAAGGAGAAGGATGGACTACACTATCTTGAGACATCAAACAACACAAGTAATGTCAAGAATAGTTTACCTTTATCATTTCTATTTGAAAAATCTCCCAATAAAGACAAAATCTAGCTTTATCATTTTCGTCTTGGACATCCTTCTTTTGGAACTTTGAAAAACATGTTTCCTTCTTTGTTCAAAGGATTAAATGCCGAAATTTTTCATTGTCATGTTTGTGAACTTGCAAAGCATAGACGTGTCTTTTCCAGTCAGCAATAAAAGAAGTTATACTCCTTTTTACTTGATTCATAGTGACATATGAGGTCTATCTACAATTCCTAATATTTCAGGTGCAAGGGAGTTTGTTTCTTTCATAAATGATTATACCAGGATCTCTTGAATATTTTTACTCAAATCCAAATCATATGTGAATAGTGCATTTTTTAGCTTCAAAAACATGATCTAAAATCAATTTAGAGTGAAAATCAAGAGATTTAGGTCTGATAAGGCAAGAGACTATTTCAACCAGAGTTTATCTACCTATTTCCAAAAGGAGGGATTATCCATGAGTCATCTTGTGTTGATACTCCATAGCAAAATGGAGTGACGAAGAGGAAAAACAATCATTTACTCGCCACAACCCGAGCTTTACTTTTTCAAGCAAACGTACCCAAATCCTACTAGGGGAAGCTATTCTCACTGCCACACATATTATAAATAGGTTACCTTCAAGGGTTTTGTGATTGAAAACTCCTATGAAACTACTCTCACAATTTTATCCTAATTTTAATACCACAAACAACCTCACACCCAAGATATTTGGTTGTACATCATTTGTTCATGTTCATAGTCACAATAGAGGGAAGTTGGATCCTAGAGCAATTAAGTGCATTTTTGTGAGATATTCATCAACTCAAAAAATGTATAAGTGTTATCATCCTCCAACCAAAAAATTTTATGTGTCTACAAATGTCACTTTTGAAGAAAGTAAACCATTTTTTACTCGGCCTTATCTTCAAGGGGAGACTTCATTCATGGAAGATAAGGATAAAGACTTCTTTTTGCTTGATTTGTCCTCTACTTCAACATTTTCACCCATTAATTCTTCTGAGTCCAAAACCTGTTTCTGCTGAACCCAAGTCAAACACTAAATTTGAGTTTAAACCCATTCCAAACACAGAAGATGTGACAAAGGATAATATTATTCTTGATTCTATGAAGGAATTACAAGTGTACTAAAAAAAAAAAGTTCTAGATCTTGAACCAGTGCCAATCCAAGAACCTGATCCTAACTTTGAAAATGAGGTAATTACAATCTCTAACTCTATTTCTCAAAATGAACATGAATATCCTAACATTAGTGATTATGATCTGCCTATTGCTATTAGGAAAGGAACCAGAGAATGTACTAAACATCCATTATACCTAATCTCTAATTTTGTGTCATTTGAAAATTTTTTTAACACCCCACAAAAATTTTCTTGCGAGCCTAAACACTATTTCTATTCCAACTACATTATCTAAGACATTATCCAATGAGAAATGGAGACAGGCCATGAAAATAGAAACGGATGCCTTAAAGAAAAATAAGACATGGGAACTAATAGAGTTGCCTATAGGAAAAAATCCACTTGGGTATAAATAAGTTTTCACTGTAAAATACAAAGCAAATGGTACTGTTGAAAGGTATAAGGCCAAGCTGGTGGCTAAGGGCTACACTCAAACTTATAGAGTGGATTATTAGGAAACTTTTGCTCCAGTTGCCAAGATCAATATAGTTAGGATTTTGTTATCCTTGACTGCAAATTACAATTGGCAGCTTCAACAATTTGATGTAAAGAATGCCTTTTTACCTGGTGATTTGGAAGAAGAAATATACATGAAAGTTCCACCGAGATTTGGAGGTCATCTAGAAGCAAACAAAGTATGCAAGCTGAAAAAGGCTTTATATGGCCTTAAACAGTCTCCTAGGGCTTGGTTCGGGAGATTTGCCAAGGTGATGCTAGCAATGGGATATAAACAGAGTCAAAGGGATCACACACTGTTTATCAAACACTCAGATTCAGGAAAAGTCACAGTTTTATTAGCATATGTTGATGATATAATTGTAGTAGAAGATGATGAAAAAGAGAGAATCTCTTAAACGGTGTTTGACCAAAGAATTTGAGATATAAGAGCTAAGATTGAAGTACTTCCTAGGAATTAAAGTAGCTCACTCACGGAATGGTGTTTTCATCTCACAACAAAAATATGTGATGGATCTTTTTAAGGAAACTAGGAAGCTCACATGTAAACCTGCAAGTGCCCCTGTGGTTCCTAATCATAAACTTGGAGAAGCTAATGAAGATGCTACTATAGATATGGAGATGTACCAGAGATTAGTTGGAAGACTTATTTATCTCACATTCTAGACCTGACATAGCATATGCTGTGAGTGTGATAAGTCAATTTATGCATAGTCCTAAAGAAGTGCACCTATAGGCTGTCTACCGTGTACTACACTATTTGAAGGCTAATCTTGGGAGAGGTATCTTGTTCAAAAGAAATTTGGAGTTGTTACTGAAGCATTTACAGATGCTAATTATGCAAGTTCGGTAACTAATAAAAAATCTACCTCAAGCTACTGCACTTTTTTAGGTGGTAATCTTGTATTTTGAAAGAGTAAAAAACAGAATATGATGGCAAGATCAAGTGCTGAAGCAGAGTTTAAAGCAATAACTTAAGGAATTTGTGAACTACTATGGTTAAAGATTATATTAGAAGACTTGAAGATCAAATGGGATGGACCAATGAGACTTTACTGTAATAACAAGTCTGCAATAAGCATTACACACAATCCTGTTCAACATGACAGAACAAAACACATTGATGTAGACCGACACTTCATAAAAGAGAAACTATACAGTGGGTTGATTTGCACACCATATGTATCAACCAAAGGTCAACTTGCAAATGTGTTGACTGAAGGCCTCAACAGTGCAACATTTCAAGAACTATTTCCAAGCTAAGAATGAAAAACACTTATTCACCAGCTTGAGAGGAAGTGTGAGAAAACATTTAGTTACAACTAGTTGTAATCTGTGTAGTTGATTATAATCTGCTGATTGTAATCTGTATATATTTGTATCCCTAAAATTGAAATTTTGTATCTCTAGAATTAAAGTCAGAATATTAGGATAGTCAATCACTTAATTATAGGGATCATATTTTAAGAAGATTTAGTTTTCTAGTTTAACCCCTAGTTAGTTGTATATAAACCTAAGGTGCTTGTATAATTCTTAATAAGCAGCTCTTCAATACACATTAGGCTTTTATTCTTATTTTTTCATACAGTTTTATTTCTTAATTTTTCCACATATTTAACATCCATAAGAATTCATTTAGGTTGCTCTTTACAAAACCGTTTGCAGCCAAATGCTTTGCTTTGAGTAATAAAAGAAATGTAAAATAAATCACCCTGAAGGTTGGCCGGTTGCAGCCGCAGGCTTCAATATTGAGGCATGGTTTGGATCCAAGAGCTGGCCAACATTCTCGCTATACCTTTGCTGTAAGGAGTTTCTAAGACGGTTAACAACTAAAAGAAGAACAGTTTCTAAGAAATCAAAGATGATCCACCTACCTTCATAGCCGCATCATCCAAAGAATCCCTTTGAAGTGGCAATTTTAGTCTTTCCTCATACATCTTTGTTGCCATGGCATTAGCAGTTCCAGCAGGCTGACGCATGAGAGAGTCATTTCCAACAAGCCCATTTGTACTGCCATTTAGGAGATGAGACCCATCCCTTCGCTGTTGGGGCTGCTGCTGCTGCTGCTGCTGTTGCTGTTGTTGTTGTTGTTGTAGTTGTTGCTGCTGTTGTTGTTGTTGTAATTGTTGCTGTTGTGGCTGTTGTTGTTGTTGCTGTTGTTGCTGCTGCTGCTGTTGTTGTTGCTGAGCATGCCTCTGCAATAAAAGCTGTTGCAACTGCAGTTGTTGCTGCTGCTGCTGTTGCTGTTGATGTTGAGGCTGTTGCGGTTGCTGCTGTAGCTGTTGTTGCTGCTGCTGCTCCCGCGCTTTAATCAACTGAGTCTGCAATAAAAATGCACCATAAGCATCACATATTTTAAGGACAAATCATTTGGGAGGCTTAAGGATTTCATAAAATACGGTATAAGTATGGCATAAATAATAACAATTTTTAACAAAATTCAACAACAAAACACTTCTCCTGCTATCAATTTCTTCCTTTCAATAATGAAAGACCCTTAATTAGCCAGTTCTGCAACAAAGCAACACAGGATCTCATAGCCATATCGCAATAGGCTACAAGTTTGTTATGCAATATGCCTTCAAGAAAGGAATCCAATTTCCATGTACAAAAAGCAAAAACCAACCTCCAACTAATAAATCCTCACTGATGTCTCTGGTTGTCATTTATCAACAAACCAATAAAAATAATAGATATTCAGTAAAATATTAGCAAGAAATTCAACGAGTTAGACAGATGACCATTGTGGAACACATTGATATCAACTTTAACGCATGTTCAATGTAGCTTACTTCTAAGGAAATTGCAAGAAATTACTTATACAAGACAAACAAGGCATAAGACAAGGAAGTCTTCCTTTGTTTTTTTGTTGTTTCCTTCTCTCAATTTAGTGTACATATATGTGTTTGAGAAAGAAACTTCACTTAATCATGACTCCAAGCAGATTATCATTTAAATGTTTTAAGGCAAAAGGACTTCTGCCACTTAAAGATCAACAAAAGGAAAGAGTTGATTTATCAGAGACAGGAAGCCCTACATACGCCCTAGACTTTCAATATAATGGACATGACATGTGGGGTGAAATGAACACCATAACAGAGGTGCAGATGCTCTTTAACCTCAAACCCAAACCTTTCAGATCTGCCCCCTCTCCCCCAACAAACAATGCAAAAATGAAATGTTGATGTTAGGTTGCCTATACCAAGTACAAACTCAAAGCAAATTCACAATTTACACTTGAAAAAGTGAAATAAAATCAAAACCAACCTCAATATAAGATGCAGCAACCTCTGAGTGCTTCTCATTAGTCCTGGCAATGAATATGTCCCAGAAAACAGACCACCATTCAAAGAGAAAACCTCCAGGTGCATCAATAGCTGGATATCCAGGTTCAAAATCAACATCAGCATCAATAAAAATATTAAATTTTCTTTCTTAAGAGAAGGGCTTTTAGGGTGAGAAGACGAGAACCTAAAGATAAGAATGGGTCCTCTTCATCTTTAACATAATTCCTGAACCCACTTACTTACCTACAGGATCTGATGATACTTTTCCTTCAACTTGAAAAGCCTGAGCTGAAGCCTTTAAATCCCTTTTTACTAAATAATCATGGATATACACATCTAACCTGTTATCGAGAAAATACATGGCTATCATTTATACCAGTAAGAGATCAAAATTTACAAGCATAACTGGAACACTATCAACAAAGAAAACCAAAAACCATAGTAAAAAACGTAAACCTTTTACAAGGAAAATCTGATAAACAACAGTTTTACACAATTTTGGAATTTAACATGATATTGAGAAAAAAAATTAACTCAGAAACAAAAGAACACCAAGGGGAAATTTTAATTTTTGATGCAACAGTCTTTTCAAATCAGAGCACTGAAATTAAACATAAAAAAAAAAAAACCCTAAACCAAATTTATTTACTTAAAAAATATAAAGAACACAAATAATGCAAAACATCAGAACAGTACCTAGAAGTTCCAGAACAAACAAAACCCTAACAAAGACCAGCTTCAAAGAACTAAACTTGGAACCCAAAAGACTTCAAAGAGAACAAGCATAAACCCAGAAAAGCTTACATACCCAGAACCCAAATCAAGCCAAAAAACGGAACAACTTTAAAGCCACAAAAACCCAGAAAAAACTTACATACACAGAACCCAAATCAAGCCAAAAAAAAAAAAAAAGGAACAACTTTAAAGCCAAATTAGAAACTAAAAGAAATAATTGGAAACCCAAAAAGGAAAACTTTAACCAGAAGAGGGGAAAAAGGACTTACATTTTATCAGCTTCCCAGTTGGTTTGAGACATCTTGTTGAGTCCAACAACTCCCCAAAAACACTTGAGAACAGCTCCAGATTCCTAGGTACTTGTCTGAACAGCTTCTCTTCAAGTTTTAATGGCTACCCAGAAAATAAAAATATTAACTATTATTATACCATGAACCCCAAAAAAACAAAATAATAAATAAAAACCAAAAGAAGAAAACTTATTACTGTAGTAGATAGAGAAGAATCTATGTTGAGGAATAATAGGAGGAACAGAGGCAGAACCTCTTCAATTAAAATTATATATATTTATTTACAGATTAAAAAAATAAAGAAAGGGAAAGATAGAGATACCCGCAATCTTGTTTAATTGGTTTTTGAGAGCTTTCTCTCTTTTTTTGTTTTTTTTTTTTAATTTTTAAAGTGAATTTGTTTTCTTTTTTTCTAGCTTAGGTTGGATTTGTGTTGCTGCTGCAGATATCATAATGCTCTGTTAGTTGAATTTACCCAAGAAGCCCTTCAACTTATCTAATTTCCAAAAATGGACTGACTGCAAGCCATTACTTTAATTCAAATGACCATTATAACCTTAACGTTTTTCCAAACTACACCAAGTTTTGTCCAGAAAGCCGCGACTTAGGTGAGGTTAGTGGGGAGTAATTAGTAAATTCAATAGAAAATAAAATTATATTGCTTTTTCCCCTGTGGGGCTTCTCTTGTTTAATATTTATGAATTAACACCAAATTTGTTTCTTTTTTATGGTTTGCACTCATCTATTTTGTTTCCTTTTCCAATCATGCCCATGTTTTGGCCTAAATCTATTTTGGTGGGTAGCCTAACCATGATTAAGAAATGGTTGTATTGTTATTTTTCTTGGTTTTATTATTATTATTTGTTTGCATACGTGAACATCAATAGGAATTTCACAATTTTCTCTTTGTTATATCTTGATTATCTTTTTTTTATTATATTAAAAAAAGAAAATTTTAGTATAAATAAAAAAATTAATTTAAAATTAAAATTTTCATATTCCTTCAAATATTTTTAATTATTAAATTAAAAATTTTAAGATTATATTTTAATTATCACATCAACAATAATTTTATTTAACACTTAATAAATTAATTAATCACGTTTTCATTTATAAAATATAAAAAAAATATCAAATCAAATCAAATAGGTAACATATAAACATCTTCGCTTTTTGTTTTCCTAATCCAACATGTTTTTCTTATCTCTCTTTCGCTTATTTTTTTTTTTATCTTATTAATTTAAACGTCTGAATATATTTTTTATACCTTAAATTTTATATGATAAATCACGTTTATTATTTTATTCAATTTTTAATAAATTCATTAATCATCATATTAAAAATTATATTAACATTTTGCGTGGAAAAAATTTTAATAATTTAGTGTGAAAATTAAACAAGTATTTTCAAACCCTACTCTTTTAAAAATCTTTAATGAGAAGAGTTGTTTTTTGGTAGTCTTTCCTCGGTGAGTCAACCATTGAAATTGGAGGACCTTTAAATTCTTAAACACTTTCTCCTTTGGGTAACTGGAATATCCTTACGATTTGGTAAGAAATTTACTGAAAGAATCTAAGAAGTTAACGAAGACTGAGTCAACTCAGTTTCAGGCACTGTTTACCTTGTAATTAATCTAATCAATAATTCGTGTTAGCTCAGTGCCTTGACCCAAGAAACGCGTTTGACTTTGCAAGTCTTCATGGAATCTTTTCCAATTCGATTTTCTATATTTATTAAATTTTTTTATTTTCTATATTTTTTGATTTTTTTATATTAAAAGTTGTTTGATTATAGTTATTTTTATTTTACGGTACATGTAATTTTATTAAAAAATAAAAAATAATTGCTTAATTACTAAGAAAACCAAATGAGTTTGAGTAAATAACAATACAATCATCAAGACAAAATAATTTTTTTAAAATATTTGATAAAAAAATAAAAAATTTTATTTTAATGATTAAAATTCATTACTATTTTATAAATCAATCGTTAAATTATTTTTTCATGACAAAAAGCTCCTGCTCATTTCTTTAGCCAGAAAAGATGATCAAATTGAATTCTATATTTAATTTAATTAATTTATATAATTATATTTAAATTTCAATTTTTAATATTTTTAATTTATTTATCTTTACTAGTAATCTTTAAAAAAAACAATAAAAATCCATTCTATTATTAGGGCAGTCAAAATTGCAAAAACATGTTATGGAAAAGGGATAAAAACTAGATGCTAAAATGATTTGGGAAATTTTAAAATTTAATTTAATTAATTATTACAATCACTTTTTAAATTTAATATTTAATAAATTTAAAATTTAAATTATAATACGAACAACTTTCTTATTACGGGACTACGACCTCAGATCTATAAAAAATTTGGGTAAGCAAAGCTGGAGGTTAAAATTTTCATGGTGGATTAAGGAACTTGAGCTTAATTGGACCGTCATTGAGCTTGAGAGTTAAATGGCTTGTCGGCCCAAGCATTGTTTCTGGGTTTAAAGTGTGGCCCGATCCTCTTACTAAGCATTAAGGGTTGGATCATTGAGCATAAGATGAGCCCAGTTATTTTCCCTTCACCTGCAAAGAAGAGCAAACCATAATTTCAACTTTTTTTATGTTGGTTTTACCGCACAGTTTTTTTTTGTTTTTACCAAATTACAATAACAAAACAGTAAATTATGAGTCCATCTAAGATAATTTCAGATAATCACCATGGATTCTGGTCTTGAATACGTTTCAAATGATTCTCTTTGGAACATACTCTTCTGCTCAAGGAAGAGTAAAACAATGATAATTATTGATGCAACACGAGGACATATAAAATGGTTCTTAAATTTGGCAAAGAAATACAGAAATAATGATAGAAATTGTAAATAATGTAAATTTTAAAAACGAAGAATTTATATATTTTAAGGTTCGCCCTACATTTTTTTTAATTTACTCTTAAATTTTTTTATCATGTTATATACTTAATTAAAAATGATATTTTTAAGTTCTAAAGAACCGGTAACTTTCAAATATCAATTTCAATAATATATCAACTAATTTAAAAAAATAATCGAATCATAATTTTATAATTGAACTTTTAAAATTTTGAAAAATAAAATGACATGTGCCATGAGACGTCACATTAGCCCAAAACATGTGCCACGAAAAAGAGAAAACATGTCAAATGTACGAAAATATATTGTATATAGCTCAAAAAAAAAAAAGGAAAAACAAAAACTTGTGGCGGAATTGAAATTGAAACATTTTAGGAATTAGGGAAGAGGAGAAGAAGTGTAGGCATCGAAATGTCTCTCTCTTCTATAGTATTTATTCTCTCGTGTCAGATAAGCCCAAGCTGCTGTAAAAGCAACATGCCACTGAGATCAAGCGGACCCAAGATCAAACTTTTATATCATCTTCGTGTCATCAAGATCAAAGAATTTCCAAACAGTAAATGAAATTTGTCCTCTGCATGAATGGAAACACATATCGAAAGAGGATTTCGTTTATCAGTTAAAAAAAAATTTTGTTCTTCGTGAGAGATTGCATGGGTGAGGGGGGCATGTCATTGGCAATTTGGCATGCATGCACAACCATCAGTCTTTGATCAGTACATTTGCATGCCATGTCATGCCAACCTATACTTTCATAGATACGCCCATGCATCGATCCCTGACTTCCCCTGAGCCCCACCCTCCACCGCTCGCGCGTATAATAAACGGGCAACATTGTTGATTTGAACCCCACCAGATCTTTAAACCTCACCTGTGAAAAACCATTTTCAACTACGGCCACTTTAAAAACGAAGTGGCTTGGGGCGAGTAATAACCAAAGAGAGTGAGAAGCAAAGAGGATGACATGAGGGGGGGAGCATGCAATAGAGGGATATTGAAAATGAATCTATCGAAAACTCAGAGAAAGAGAGAGGTGTTTGTTTGTTTGATCATCAAACCATGCAATCTGCCTACTACTGCAAAATGGACAGTGAGAAAAAGAGTGTGACGTAACGCTTGCATGCAATCTGAAATGAATACCGTAACCCTTGCATTGGATGCGTGTGATAGAAATTTTCGAATTCAATGCCCAAACATATGCCCACCTTTTATTTTTTAACTCTACTCTTGGACTTTTCCTTTCCGACCCACGTCCTACAGTTTTTTCCCTTCACTTCTCTCTAGATTGTCTCATTGGCGGCAGAGAGAAAAAGGGTTTGTTTGCATCAGCAATCAGCAAAGAGAGGAGAAAGATGATAGCGAGAACCAGAGCTGTCAATCCGTTTCTGAAAGCTTCGTACAATATCGTCAATGGAAGGGAGGGACGCGTCATATCACCCCATCATTGCTCAATTATCAGCGTGAAGAAACAAGAGAAAGAACTGCTTACGTATCTGTATATCTATATAACCAGTTCTAAGTAAATAAATTTAACAAAAAGAGTGTGGATGGCATTGAAGTTTTGAGATTTTAGATGCAAACAGAGAGTTTTGTGTTTTATCTGTGTACTTGGTGGTGTTGGGTACTGTTACTGTCAGGTGTGCTACTGTATGGTTGTGTTTTCTAACCTTAATTGACCTTGTCATTGCAGCTCACCTTGGCTATTTCTTTTTTATATAAAAACCTCATTTTTTTATTATATATAGTATTAATATATTTAAAATATATATTTAAGAAAATCAAGTGATAGATAGAATTCTTGAATTAAGATAAAATGTGACACGTCTACTTGAAAATAATGATTACAAATTTTACATTTGAGATGATCTCATTAAAAAATTATCAACTGAACTCAAATCTAAACCATTAATATCGAAGAAAATAATCTTATCAATTGAGTCAACCTTTTGTTCATTATGTTATATATTATCAATACACCACAAATTATCACATCATTTATTAACAAATATTTTTGCAATGACACATGAAAAAAGATCTCTTATAAGGGAGAATTAGTGACCTCTATCATTATAGAAAAAAAATTATAGGCATAACATTAACGTTAAATGATTTTATATGAGACTTTAGGAGTAGAGGTAACAATAGGGTTGATTGAGTATGTATTGAGTTCATTTTTTATAAAAAGATTTTAGATTATTTTGGTTTTGAAGTTTGAGTTATTCGGATTCATTTTATGCAAAGAGGATATAATACTTGGATTAAAGTATGATAAATAGAAATTTAAATACCTAGGATAAATAAACTTTAGAATGAATTACAAAGATGATTAAGATAGTTAATAAAATGGGAAATTAAATTCATTCAAATGGTAAAAGGGTGTTCAAAAAACAAGATTAGAGGTTGGATTGACAAAGGAGGACAAAAAGGGTGTCCCAACAAACTGTATTAACGATTCTTAGTGACGAAAACTACCTTTGATAATTAAACAATGAAAGTAACATTACAAAGGGAAAGGGAATCCCTATGCTATTTGATATCCATTTTTAGCAAAAGACTCCAAGGACCTATCACCACTTGTTTTACTATAAAACACCTCTCAATTGTGATATCAATTAACAACCAATGGCTAAACATGATCCAAATGGTAATACTGGAAAAGTTGAGATGCTTTTTTTTTTTTTTTTAATAATATAAATTTTTATTATTTTATAAATAGATGATAGAGTTTTTAATTTGGATTTATATTTGATATATCGTTAATGTATAAATTCTATACACTATCAATAAATAAAATTATACAATCTCATTAATAAAATGAATCAGATGATGCAACCTCATTAGTAAATACATATTTGTAAAAATATTAATTTTGATATATTTATTTTAAGGGCTGATATTTATTCATTAATGAGGTAACATCATCTTATTTACTGACAATGTATGAAATATATATACTAACACTGTATCAAATATAAATTTTTTAAATTTTATAAATAAATAAAAATATTATTATATATATCTATTTAGCTTCATTACTATAATAATTTAGTTTTTTTTTTGTAATTATTTTTTTCTTACTTTTTGTGATTAAGTACCAATAAATTAAGTTGAAGTTTATTAAAGCGTTTTTTTTCTTTGTATGAAAAAAAGAAGAAGAAAATTAATGAGATCATGAAGTAGAGAGGTTAGACAAGAAAATCAAATGGTTTTATAGATTAATGCCTTGGCATTAAGATAGGTGAATAGATGTGGACTCATGTAATAGGAAATTATAACAAAATTGGAAGTGTAGGTGTAAGTGAGGAGAAGTACATTTTGTCTCCAATGAATCTGTTTGAATTAAAAGAAAAGTTAAAATATTTTGCATTTTTATTACAATCATTGTAAAAATTGAAAAGATTTAGGTTTGGAATTGTAACACAATGTAACAGTGATCGAATTTGGAGTTTAATTTAATTAATTCATGTTATTATTTTTAGCATTAAACATATTTAAAATTTAAATTTCATCATTTATAATCTTTGCCCCTATTTTTGTGATTTCTTTTGTAAAAAAAATGTAGTTGTTACTAAGGATAACAATAAATATTTTATAGGTATCTGTACTCGAATCTATTTAATGCTTATAATATTTGAATTCGTTTAAATATTCGTTTAAGTTTAGTATCATTATCAAAATTTAAATCTATTTAAACAAGTAATATTCTTTTAAATATCTATTTATTTAAAATTTTTTGTCAAAATTAATATAAAATAAACGAGAATTAAAATTATATTTTAAATTCACTATTAATTAATAATAAATAAAATTATTTATTTAGGTTCAAAATTTTTCACAAACATAAAATTTAAATATTTATTATTATTTATTAAAATTTAAACGAATTCAAATGTTATATATTCAATAAATACCATCCATATTTTAATTTTCACGAATGATAAATTTTTTATCTAAATTCACTAATTATTAATTTATAATTATTTAAATTTAACATAAACACGAATATTCATTCATTTGCTATTCATTCTCATATTTAATTGTGACCAAATAAATTATATCTCAACTACCAATCTAAACTAAATCAACTAGAAGCTATATATGCATGCTTTAGCAAGAATACATTTTAAAAAGTTAATGGTATCTTCGGACGACCTTAGTAATTAAAAAAAAAAATCCTATGCTCAAGCAACCAATCTCAATAGCTCGTACTAATAATGAAAGGCACCAAGACCTAACCTGGTCAAAAGTTATCGCAAGAAAGTCGGCCTATGTTTTATCTAATTAACAAGATGTTTTTAGGTTCTATAATAATAAAATAATACTATAGGTTTACAGAGCACTTTTCGTGCCTTTTGCTTTCTTCGCATGCTTTTGCGCTTGCATACTACTTACTAGAATGCAATACAATACACACACAAAAATAAAAACTTTATAAATATTATATTTAAATTATAATGATTATGATATAAATTAATTAAAATAAAAGTGAAATTAATACTTTATTAAAAAATATACACATAAGAAAAATTTTCAATGTGATTTATTTGCATGGTCATTATAATATAAGAAAGAGTTTGAATTTTATTAAATTTTCAATGTAATGTAATTGAATTTAATGTATCATTAGTTTAATTTAAATATTAATTTAAATAAAATTTATTTAATATAAAACTTTTAATCATAATTATAATAATAATTATTATTTTTAAATTTTATCACAATTAATTTTATCATTTAAATTTACAAGACAAATTTTCACGAAAGCCAACAGATGTCCTGTCAACAAGGTTTCTTCTGATCGATCTTTTCAAAAGAATAATTAAACAGTCAAAATTTTAACTTTAATCTTTAAAATTAAAATTAATTAACCTTTTACTTCTATTTTAATTTTAATAATTAAGATTTAAATTTTCACGGCTCAAGTAAAAAAATGTTTCTTCTTTATGTTGTTAAACAAAAAGTAAAATACGTTCTATTTATGAAATTATTTTGTACAAAGTTAGCAAACTTACATCATCATAAGATGCAAACCCCTCGTACAAAATTGGTACATTTACAATATTTTAAAAGAGGGGTTAAAAAAAAAGGTCACCCTGGGTAAATTCCGATGAAATATTTTTTTTTACTTTTTCACCTTTTGCTTCTTGAATCACGTTTCCTTGAGCAGGATAACATGAGAATTACAACTGTTGTTGTTACAATCTTTGATTGTCCTCCATTGTTCAGCAATATCACCAGCAATCTTAAAGGCGTCAGAAGCCGTTCCTAGGAGCCCTCTTCTTGTAAACCCAACTGTGTACAATCCCTTCTCTGCTTTCCATCCGTTGGGAAAAGGCGTTTTTGGCATACCATCTTTGGTGAAAACATCACACCCCTATATTTCCATTAAGGGCAAAAAAAACAATGTTACAACGACTAATAAATACAACTGCTTCAAAAGATCAATAATTTGTACAAATGAATTGATGAATAAGAGTGGAAAAAGCTGTGAAAATCATATCAAACTGAACCCATTTTCTGAAATTTCTTCTAGGAAAAGGCAATCGAGGGAATTTTCTAGGTTTTTTTTTTTTTTTTTTGGTTTAAGGCAAATGAATCCTCAAAAATACCCATTATTTAATGATGATTACACATCATGAACCCCATAGAAATTTTTTTTTTCTTTTAAACCCTAATAAATGCCTGAACCGAGGCTTATGTGTCCAAGGCATAAATTGACGTGTGATTCAGAACTCAAAATTAAGCAAAATGTAACAGCTCATTGTCCACCTTGAGCCAAGTAGGCACATTGCTTTTGTACCCAGTTGCCAAGATTATTGAATCAATCTCCTTTTCTTGTCCATCCATGAACTTGGCTCCATTTCTTGTTATCTCTTTCACACCTTCCATCACCTGAAATACCTAACAACATCAACTAAAGGTATAGAAAAAAAAAAGTTTTTGTAGCAAAGCATGAAAAATGTGATTGATTGAATATGAGGGTCTGTTTGGTTAGTTGAGATTACCTTAATTTTACCAGATTTTATCTGTGATAGTGCACCCACATCGAGGACCGGAGTCTTTCCGGTGACATTTTTTAGTTCAATTGGACCAGTTTTTGGCCGCCGAAGACCTATTTGGTCTGTGTTACCTAAGGTGAAGTTGGCTACCAGCAACAGGAATTTATCTACTAGCCTTAAAGGGAACCATTTGAGAAGTACCATGGCTATACCAAATGTTGATAAACCAAACATCTCCCTAGGTAATACATGCACCTGTAAAATAAATAAATAAAACAGATAAGCATATGAGCAATAATGAAAAGTCAAAAGCCTAGAACTGTAAATTTGAAAGAGAAATTAAGGAGCCTGATGTAAAATTAAATGAACTTACTGTGTTTCTAACAACCATATGAGGGATTGCATTGTATCGACAAAGGTCCAAGCTGACTTCCATGCCGGAATTGCCACATCCAATGACCAAAACCCTTTGGTTTTTAAACTCAGAACCAGACTTGTACAAACTGGTATGAACAACAGGACCCTTAAACTTGTCTATCCCAGAAATGTCTGGTATTACAGGCTCAGCATTTTCACCAGTAGCAACGATAAGCCACCTAGAAATGTACTCACAGTCTTTAGTTTTAACCCTCCAAAACCCCAAAACATGATCAAACTCTGCACTTTGCACAGCTTGCTTGAACCTAGGTTGGATTGAGAAATGTGAAGCATAGGATTCCAGGAAAGAGATAAACTGGTGCTTGGTTGGGTACTTTGGGAAATTCTCAGGGAAACCAAGGAGTGGTAATTCACAAAACTGTTTGGGAAGATGGAGTTTGAGACGATCATAGGTTCGATGTTGCCATAGAGAAGCTATGCAGTCACTTTTCTCAAGAATAAGAGAAGGTACACCTTGGTGAGTAAGGCAAGCTGATGTTGCTAGACCAGATGGTCCGGCACCTACAATGATAGGACCATGAACCCTAACACACCCTGCTTCATCCTTATGATGTTGTCCTTGATCTTTACAAGAACCCATGTTGGACAATCCCAAGAAAAAGATGGTAATGAAAACGAAGAGAGAACCCAAAAAGCAAAAGGAAAAGGATAGTGCAAGAAAGGTTAAAACGAAACAGAGAAAAACCTTTCTCCAGTTTCTTTATAGTTCCCCTGTTCTTTTCACTCTGCAAAGCTCTGGCTTTCTTTCCTCCTCCCTGTTTTTTCACTTCTTTGTTTGCTTCCTGAGAAAAATCTTATGTGGATGAGGTGGGATTTTAAAGAGAGAGGAAGAGCACTCAGCAGAGAGGGGGTGGAGGAGAAAACCAATGAAAAGAGAAAAACATGACGTGGGGGTGATTAGTGAGCGTTTTGAATGCAGAGAAAAGAGGGAAATAGTAGGTTTTTATGAGAAGTGAGAGGTGGAAAGAGAAAATATGAGAAGGGAGGTATTAATGGAGGCGTGAAGGTTAAGAAAAAGGATTTCTCAAGGTTCTTTCTTCTCAGCTTCTCTTTGCAGAGTTTCCATTTTCTGGTTGCAAACTTGCAGTTCATTTAGACAAATGAGCAGAGAAGAGATATAAACACATTTATGTAATCCCCTTTTCTTTTTTTAATAATTATTAATGTTTTATTTTTTTTATAATAATTCATATATTTATATCATATAAAATCTTAAAATTTATATTTTTAATTTTATTAAATTAAAATAATAATTATTAAAATTTTAAATTACATCGTTTTTATATTTTTTATATAATTTCTTATCCATCCCATTAACAGTTTCAAATAAGGTGTCACCGTTACAACCCGGAGAGTTTTGAAATTGCACTTTGGGGAGAAGAGGAAACATCAAGAGATTTGCGTTGGGTCAAAAGATCTAAGAAAGTGCTTAGGCAAAATGGGTTTACGGCAGCTGCCACGTGGAGGTTTGCTAAGCGTTATAAGTTGTTTCATGTTGGGAAACAACTCGGATTAACCAGCGACAGCGAGAGCCGTCTGATCATAGACTTTTAAACACGTGGCTTTTTTCCTTGCATGACTAAGACTAACAAGCAAAATATGAATATTCTTATCAACTTGGAACTGACGAAATCTATCAAAATATCTTATACATTGACGATGAAAATGATTGACATGTTACTCAACAAGCATGCTGATTTAATTTTTTATATATAATTAAAAATAAATAAAATTTATAAAATAAAATTTTCGTGTTAACATGGATAGGTTACTTTCATTAAACTCATGTCATATAATTATATTTTTTAAAATTAATATTGTTTGATTACAAAAACAATTTAGACCGATCTAACGAGATTTTAAGCATTATCAGTCATCTAATCAATTCGTAAAAATGTAGTTTTCTTAGATTTTGAGTATGCATATTGACGAAATCGTGATGTAATGTAAATTTTTTTGTTTGATCATAAAATAGATGAAATAAATTAAAAAATAATTTTTTGTTTAAAAATAAAATATTATTGAAACTGTTCAGTTCAACCTTCAAAATCATATCACATCTCGAATCGAATCTGATAAAGTAAGATGAATTAAAACGGTATTTTATAAATACGTAATCAATGTGTCCCTATTCCATTATTTTTTTGACTTGATGAACATGCACACTGGCTTCGTCGCTGGTGAGTGCTGATGTATGGCTAGCAACTTGCCCATGTCGGTTTTTTTATTTTTTTTCTTTGAAACCCTATCTGCTAGGTAAACACTTAATGGATGAATTAAATAGGATAATGAAATCATTGTACTTGATTTTTTTAGTATATATGCTCCCGAGTTACAATATATATATATATATATTATAAAAGTTTTTTATGCTATTTTATATATCAAATTATTGTATTTCTTACCATTAAGCTTGATGGTTCATGAAATTTAGGTGAACATAATAAATTCTGTTCATATTAAATAAATGTAAACGGCAACAGATGAAATTCAAACATTTAAACCCGTCGATAAAAAATGAAAGAAAAGATCTATAATTTTCATTTTAAGTACCTAAGCAAGTAAAGGGGATTAGGTCAAATTACTCAAATAGGGTATTGCTCAAAGCTCTTTATGAACAACGAAATTGCTTGCATATTTCTTTTCGAGGGCTTTACCAAGTACTTAGTGTTTTTCTATACGTGTTTTTGTTAATGAACGTTTGGTAAGCATAGAAAAGTCTAATTCAACTCTTTCCAAGAAAAACACATAGCATGGAGTTGTCAAAAGCTGAAGAGACATCAAAGAGACAAGCAGTAGGAGTCAAAATAGGATACGATGAAGATGTGAACAACTCAAATGAATCATAATGTTTCGATACAAAGGGATCAAAGGAGCTTTAAGAAATGAGGGGCAGAAATTGAATCAAAATATATTCGTATAATTATCTTTAAAATGTAATATTTAATATATTTGAAATTTAAATTTTAATATCTATGATAATATCTTATTTTATCTCAAATTATAATTTTTTTATAAAAAAATAGTATATATATAACTAAAGTTAAGATCCAACATGAGGGAATATATATTCAATTGGAGCTCACATTGTGCCTTAACCTAATTAATTATATTCTAAAAAACAATCTATTCGAAATTTAGTTTGTTAAAGGCCTAACTTTAATGTTAAGACAGAATGTTTTAAATATTTATAAACAACAATAACCATATTCTATATTGCTGTAAACATGATTTTAAATTCGAGCTCGACTTATTTCGACTTTAAATATTTAAATAATAAAAATGATAAACGGTTATTATTTTATAAAATATTTAAATATTTAAAAAATAATTATAATTTAAATAGATGGATCAAATTAGATTTAAGTTTTATTGTCACCGATTCGTTTCATGGACACTTAAAAATTTATATATATGTAATTCTTATTTAATAATCTTTGAAATGTAGCTGAAAATACACATGACCCTTCAAAATGGGTGGTCTAAGATTAAATATTCTAATAAACTTATGTTAAAATAATTACTCATTCTCTCATGTAGCTCACCTTGCATGCCATATATGATATATACATCCTGTCTTCCACCTTAAAACGTGTGTTGACCAATAAAATAAACCCCGAATGAACAAGATTATTAAATCAAAACCTTTTGTAAATAGGTATTGAAGATTATCCATGAGTCAACCAATTCATTCAAGATAAAGAAAGAGATATTAAAATAACTAAGATTGGTCGGTGTGGGATAATCAACAAACTATATACAGATTGTCTTAGGCTCAAAAACAATATAAAACTACACTCGTTTTATGACTAGAACTTTATAGAGCATTAACTATGGTTAAACATATTGATGTATAATAATAGTTTCAGTAAAAAATTAATTAACCCTTTGGATTGATTTAATTGAGTTGTGCTTGCATGCTTGAAATACCTAAAAATAAAATATTGGACCAACCTAAACCTAGCCCCATCCTTTTCCCCCTACTTTTGTAACCTCTCTTAAGTCCTAATTAACTTTGTTTGAATTGTTTTTCAAGCATCGAATCTTCCACTTTGACACAAAGATCAGTTTCTTCAAGATGCGTACTTTGGTTAGAATTTTTCTCAATCACTGCAATTTTTTCTTACCTGGGATTGCAATGATTTTCTCCAGAATGTTGGTTAGTTTGTCGCGTTAAGGCGAAATTAATAGAAATTTAAGCATATGATTAGCAATAGTTGGATCCTAGCTAGCTGTTAATAAAGTGATTTAGGTTCATGTGATATATAGTACTTCAAACAGAAAATTAATGAATAATTTATGTTTGATCTTGATGATTGTGATAGTTTTTAAATAACACTAGGGATTTACCGACAAAGATTGAATCGATTAATTAAAGGATTGTTATACTATCATGATTCGGAATTTCAAAAATGGAGATAAACAATAATAAAGATCCTAAACTTTAAATCTCGAATCCTAACCACTAAATAGTGCACGTAAATAATGCAGATTATAAAGATAAATATACTTGATTTAGATTGATCATTTGAGTTACTATATATTTTCAAATTTTTTTATTTTTTTAAATTAAAATATCAAAGGTTCATGATTAGAATTCAATTTCTGATAATTTCAAAATATAGAAAAAATGTCAAATGCTTTGAAGTATCATTGCAAAGCATACTTTCAAATACATGAATGATATATAGAATAAATAAGAAAGTTTAGGTGAAAGAGACACCATGGCAATTAATTAATGAAGGCCGTAAATTTTAAGTTTTAACACCCATAGTTTCATACCTATGAATAATGATAATTTGATTCCTACTTTGTGTATCCTAAAGGACCTAAACTGAGTGCTGCAGTGCTTGAACCAGTAGTAGGGGACCATGCTATATGGACTTCTCTTGCTCATTTCATTGGGGCCATTGATCTCTTTGTTAATTTAGATGGAATCATGATTAGGTTTTGCAAGTTATACAAAGTTCAAACTTTGAATTTTTGAAAAAAGAAAACAAAAGATATTCAGTAGTATAGTTGGCAACTTTATTTTAAAAAAATATAAAAATGTTATTTTTTTATAAATAAGGTGGCAGTTTTGTAGATAAAGAAAGGATTGCATATAATGGGAAAAACTTACACAAAATTTTATAGATGAAATTTGTGAAATTTTTTATTATAAATGAGTAAATAAAAACAAAAATCAAAAATCAAAACCAATAAATTAAAAGATCTCATCATACAGATTAAATGTGCAAATTTTAATTTTTTTAATAATTTTTAATATATTTATTAAACATATATTTTTAATAAAAATATTAACAGAATTTTCACCGTTAAATAGATATCGATCAAATTTGAATTATTAACAATATTTTTAATTTATTTTTACATATTATTGATCTTTACATTAAATTTTATCAATTTGGATTTTTTATTAAAGTTTTTATTAAATCATTTAAAAAAAACTTCATAAACTTCACCTAAATAATTTCACGTAAGTTTTATCTTGTAAATACTAAAATTTAAATATCAAATTTACTGAATGTCACTTCTTAAAAATGATTGTACGAACAAATTAAGATAAATTCCAAATTTCTACTCTTTATATTTTTACCAGTTGAGTTGAAGTATCTGACCTTAAAACATAAATGGGTTAGTTATTAAAATTGAAATTTATATTTTATATATTATCAAATATCAATGCTGGTATAAATTTACATATTAATTATCCGAAATTAAATCACAACATGCAAACTTAGAACAAACAAAATTGTAAATTCTTCGTCAGTGAAGGAGACAATACAAAGAATTGCAGGATGGGGAGATTGAGACGCGTGTTAAAACCCCAAAAGAAAATACAGGAAATGAACAATGAATTGTGAATGTGAACAATGTTGATGACAAGGGCAAGACCCAGTGAAAGGTTTTGTCATTTGACATTAACATATCCTAAGCAAATAGTATAAGGGTCCCCTCCTCTTGTTATGAAACAGGCCGAGGCTACAGGAATCCATCCAGCTGATCAGCTTAGCCTCGCTCCTCGTGCTTCTATCTCCGTCGAAGCAAGAATTTTGG